CAAAATACATCTATTATACTTATGCGCTGGTTTGCCACTGCCAACCCGAATGAAAATTTTATTTTATGTACATATTTAATTGTGCAATATGAGGAAGTATAATTCCAGTCTTCCCTCCGTTCAGTTCAGATGCACTGTACTAGTTTCTCTTTTAAGTCATTCATGTCTTCGTGATTCTTACTGAAATTTATTTATTGAAGGTCTCCTGAGCAGCAAAACAGGCAGACAGGCATCAGGTAAAAGAACCAAAGCTTTGAGAAGTCAGAGTGGTCACAGTGATCTGCAGTTTTCTGCTGCATCGCTCTGCATCAGACGAGTAATCCATCGTTAGGGGCCATTTCCAGGAGCGGTCCATCTGTGCTCAGCACGACCACGTTGATGGGATCCGTGCAGAATCTTTCACCTGATCTTCAACAGCTCCAGAGAAAAATGATTTTTAGAAAGGTTTTTAAAAAGAACAAAGCCAATAAACTGTAAGCTGCCATGCCTGAAATGCCATCTCTTGACATCTTTGGTACACCTGAGCTGTATTCGTTGCCTTCTGCCACGCGTACGTAGCATTTAATAGGATGGAAACAAATGAAACAGAATAGGAGAAAATGGATTTTCACCCATGATAACACAGCACACAAAAAAATCACAGGTAAGTGGTTTTGACAACATGGTTATCTACAGTTCCTGAACTCTTTCTGATGTAATCCACATGTTCTAGCACAAATGCCTGAAAGAGCAACAAGACAACTCCAAAGAATGAAAAAACCTCCCCATCCACTCTCTATCCTTTCTTGAGAAAGACTACAGGAAAAAGCCCCAAACCCTAATGTCCAGCAAGGGAATCCTGTGGGAAGTGTCTGATCTGAGGGGAAGAGAAACAAGCCAACGGCTACTGAACAAAGTGTTGTATGGACTCAAGACACCATAAAGGCTGATGGGATAAGAAATCCCTTTCTCGTATCGCAGACGAGCTGCAGGAGAGAGCAGGGAAGGCAATGGCACTGCTGCCAGCCCAGCAGGCAGGTGGCAGCAGCAGAGGTGGCCCTGCTGCTGGAAGCCTGGCCACCGCGGCACCTCCTGGTCCCTCCAGGAGCCCAGGTCAGGGAACTCGGCCAGCACAGCCGTTCACATCTTCGTCGGTGAGCAGGGAAGCTCATGAGGAGTCTGCACGCTCCCATTCCTGCTCTCCTGGGGTAAGCGCTGCTCCTTCGGACATCTGCCGGGCCTCTACCCCAGCAGAAAACCTCTCTGCAGGGCTTCAGCCCTCAGACCTGAAAGCCAAACTGACTTAGAAGCAGCAAAGAAAGCGAGGCAGGTAAGAACGGCTTGTTTCACGAGCCCCTCTGGTATCCATTCAGCATTGCTACTGCTTGAACTGCAGTCAAAATATTTTCAGAAGTGTACAGAAATGGCTTTCAGTCTCTGTGTTCAGAAGTATAAAACCAAACACTCCACACACAGAAAACATGGCCCTGAAGTCTCACAAGACCCCAGGTAAACGCTCATACTTTGCACACACTATGGATGTCCAAAGCACTTGTGTCTTGAACACAACACAGCAAAAAAGAGGTGTGCAAGAGAGCAGTTGCTTTTTGGTTGTTTTTTAATCCTCCCCAAAGCACACAAAAGCTGTCCTTAATTGTTTGGCTCACAACTCTAAAGATGGAGATTGCAAGAAGCAATTGTAGCATCACTTTTACCGAGCAATGTAGCAGATCCCCTGGTGCGGAGGAGGACCCAAAGCAGGTGATGCAGACAGACGGGGCTACATCCAGCCCCCGGGCTGCTCCTGGCACTGCCACACGCCTTCTGCTGCACCATTCCAGGCACAAGCACTGGAAATGGTTTCTTCCCAAGCTGTCTGTGCCATGGGAAGCTTACATTCTCTCCTTCCAGACTATGTGACAATGAGGAAAAACACACAACTGCAAGAACAGCCCTTGTCTATTTCCTGAGACTAGTGCCCGAGGGTGGAAGGGGTGCAGGAGAGCACAGAGAGGAGTAAGGACTGATTACAGGCACGGGAAGAGGAGTCACGACTGTAGGAGTCTGGGGCATAAGGATGAGAATACACGGGCAGTGAAGGAGTAAAGGCTATGATAAGGTAGGATGAACACCTAGCTAGTGCAGAAATGCACTGGAAATGAAGGGAGAAAGCACAAAGTTTCCTGTGCAAGAAATCAGGTGAAGCAGCAGCATAAATATATGCATAGGTGGAAGTTGGAGCTTGAATTACAGAGGTGATGGATATAAAAGGTACAATGAGTTTCAGGGAGAGAGCTGAGCTACGTTTGACAGAACACTTCCCTGGCTCTTGTGCCACAACCAGAAAAAAGCAGCAGAAAAACCCCACAGCTATAGGAAGCTTCAGTCAAGGCAGCACTTTGCTTCCTGAGCAGCCACGGTAGCATTGCTCTGTTTTCAGCTAGGAGGAACGCAGAAGCCTCAGCCCTTACTGCTGGTCCTTATTCCAAATCACCCCGAGCTGCTATTGTACGATCTCTGAAGCGCGGTTCCAGTATTCTTATTTTGCAAAATCTGAATGTTTCAGGTGTTAAAGGAGAAAGGAACAATTGAACGGGGACCTTTGGAAATGTATCTGACCCGCTCATTATCCCCTTTCGCAGACTTTTCCAATAGGCAGATTTTGAGCTGCCAGATTCATTGTTCAGGTGGCAGGGAAGTGAGCCACCAGGCTCCCCGAGGTCCCAGCTGCTCCTGCTCTATTGCTATCAGGACTCCTATTAGAGGCAACATATCCTACCCTGATTAAAATGTTCCCTGCATGGGCTTTACACCAGCCTAAATCTGCCAATTTCAAAAGACTTGCCCTTGATTTATATTAAAGTAAATGAGAGTAGAATTAAATAGTTCATTTTTTTCCAACCACATTTAAATCATAAACCTATAATCCGGCAGCATCAGGAATGCTTTATTTCCAACACCCCTATTCATTTGTGAGTAATACAATGCCATGTAAGACTTTTTTTTTTCTTAAACAATTTCCCTGGTCCATTTTCCTTTGCTTCCTGAAGAACCTCACATCAATACATAATTTCACTGGTTTGCATCCTATACTTCAGGCTGTGATTTGATGGTGTTTTTTGCAGCAAGGACAGCTCAAAGAATTCTGAAGTCGTGCAATTTGTTTTCAGTGCCCACCACACCAAACCACCTCCCCAGTTTCGTAGATACCATTGCTTGAAAGTCATGCAGTGAATCAGAAGTGGGAACCACCTGGATTAACAACTCACACAGACTCCTGAAGCATTGCAGCTTGAAATCCTATGCTAAGGAAGGTCTAGCAGACATGAAATGTTCACACCACCCCAGAAACATCCACAGGGCGGAACCTGGGATCTGGATCCAGACACGTTTAAAGCCATTTTCACATCCTCATTTGTTTTCTCTCAGAGAATTCCTCATACACTCAACCGAGTGAGCAGAACAAGGCTAACACAAAGCTGGAAGCGTCCCATGTGAAAGCCTCCAGCTACTTTTTTTCTTCTGATTTCAGGATGTTCAGCTGGTAAGAACTTGTTCAGGGCTCAAAGTCTTGAGGCCAAGTTTTTCCACCCACTGATGTGATGTGTCCCACCTCCAGAGCATCATTTATTTATACCCCATTATCATTTATTATACCCCAATTTTATTTTATAGAACTGGGGTTTTATTACACCCCAGTCACTATTGTTGTTTTCATTGTGGTATCACAAACGTTCACCTGCTCCCTCATCATGATTAGATACTGAGGGGTTTTTCCTACTTGATTTTACCTCACCAATCTTAGGACTTCTATTCAGTAAAAATGGGGTTTGGTTGGTTTGTCTTTTAATATATTTTTGTGTTGCTGCAACTTAAACGCTGCATCCATCCGTACATACTCTGTCACATAAGCATCACCAAAGGAAACCAGGCTTATCTACTCGAGTTGTTCCTCTCCCTTGTAAGTAATACCTCTCCTACCAACAGCATATGGTACCCGCCGATAGTGACACCCCGCTCCCAGCGATAGCGCTGCCCCGGCCCCGTGGAGCTGCCCTCAGCTGGTGAATCAGCCTCTGCCAGCCACGTTACTGCTGCTCCCTTGGCAGCCAGCGCGCTCCTGTGCCGTGTGCTGCCAAGCGAGGATGCCAGTCTTTGGCCACCAGCCTTTGGGATGGAGCCAGATGGATGCTTTCTGCTGCTCCTCGGCTACATCAACTTGAATAACAAGGAAGTACAGACTGTAGGAAAACAGCATTGTTCTGAACTGAATAAACATCGGCCTGCCATACAGCAGTAAAACAGCCTCAGACGAGAAATGAGAGATTTGAGGAAAGAGGCACACGAGAGAAAAGTGAATAAACCAAAGGGACGTGTGGTTTGAGCAGCTCTTCCAGCAGCTGCAGAGCCGCATCTCCCCCTGCTTCCCATACACACACACACTCAGGGCTGGGACCATTTCCCCACATCCACCTCATCCATCAGGACGCTGTCTGTTCCTCGGCTTCACGAGCACTGACCTGGGGCAAAGCAGGCAGCCCGAGGGGGACCCCTCGCTTCCCAGGGGAGGCAGGCAGGACAACAAAGGGAAGGGTAACCCCCAGGGACAGGCAACGCATCGCCCGTCACACAGCCTGCCGGCCTGCGATGCTGCCCCGCCTGCAAATAACAACAGTCTGTGCGTGTCTGGCACGTTTACCCAGAGAAATCTGGCTTATGTTTTACTGTGAATAATTAGGACCAACGTCCCAAACTCTGTTACTTCAAGGTAGCTCTGATGAGGGCTCCAGGCTTTGAAAACTGGAGTAAAACAACAAAATGCAGGGCTTTCCAAACCTAACCCTGCCCTGCATTGGGGAAATGTACCATCAGGTGGGACTTAGAATAAAGAAGCTCTCCACATAAGCTTAAAAACAAGAAACCAGCCTGCACTTTGTAATGCAACCTGAACCCAGTTCAGATATTACCTATGTAAAGACCTGATTTTTGAGACCTGTACCAATTTTCTTTTTTAATTACAGGAGGATCAGTGTTTCAGTGGAAGGTGAGAAGCACTTCACTGAGAAATCTAGAGAACTGGCTTGATTTTCCATTTGATTACTTCAGCATCAACTCTCCTGGCTTTAAATATGAATCCTGCCACATTTGGAGGTTTCACAAGCTCCCGGCTCTACAAATCCTGAAAACACACGAGAATGCAAACAATGGCAGAGCTGGGAACTGGGCATATGGGCTCCTGGCACCAGCTCCAACCTTCAAGTCTCAACCAGTGCTCCCGCGATCCAGGAATCAGAAGGTAATTAGGAAAGCCTCTGCACACTTCTTTTATTTTTATTTTTGAAACAGAAACATTTCAGTACCATGTGGCAGCCCAGAAAGTAATGAGATGCATCACATGCTGCGAGCTGTCATTTCCCACGAACCTGGCACCGGCGGTACCTTTTTTGGCACGAGGTCCCCAGAGGGCACAGAAAGAAGCCAAAAGAAGTCACAGAAGCCCTCAGCTGCTCATTCGTGCTCCTGCGGACAGGCGGAGAACAAAGACTGGTTCTCCATATGTCCCCGAAGGATGGCTTTGCCCACACAAGGGAGATGGCAGCCAGCCCAGCCTTCGACAGGAGCGTCCCAGAAGCAGGATGCAGCAGGAAAAGGAAATACGGGGGACTCTTGCATGCTATGGCTTTCCACCCTGAAAATACAGTGCTCCAGGCAGCTCCCAGTGCGGATCCTGCAGCACTGGAGTCACTCCTGCAGCTCGTTCCAGCTGGGTCTGGGGCAGGTTTAATCATCCCATTCCGGACAGCTATGATGGAAGTGATGAGTTACGTGAGTCAGGGCTGGTGTCTAATCAGCATAATTCATCTAATTCGATGATTAACCTAAGAGGGAAAAGTTCCTTTAGGCACAGGTAAAATAGCGCATGAATCACTTCTTGGCAATGTGAGTAATTCATCTGAAAAGGGAAGTTGTGGCTTGTCGGAAGGCACAGACCAAGTTTAAAAAGGAAATACAGCAAACATCAGGTGCTAGGACACAAACTGCAGGCAGTCCTATCTCTGCCCACCACAAACCACGTTACTGTCACCAAAAACAGTGTCAAACACTAGAAAATGCACCGGGACACACTGCCTACATTACAGCTGTGCACCAGACACTGCTCTTGTGTAGCAGGGCAATTCTGCTGCAAGTAGTAACGGAGAAGGCTCTGCAGACAGCGTTTTACACTTTTGGTAACATTTCAAGCCTTTTTTAGCATTGACTCCCCGTCCCATCCTCCTCATAGTGCTCCCCGTAGCACCCACACGGCAGACACAGCTTCCACAGCACAGGATGCATTTTGCAAGGGGCTGATGCCCAACACCTCCTACATGGTGCTTCCAGTTTCTTCCTGCAGCTTTGAAGATAGAACAATTTCCAGAATTTCCTTACGCATTTCATACAGCCCAATTTCTGCACAAAACAACAAGCTGTTTGTGTACTGTCACACATTCCTGTAAGTTTAAGGCAGCAAAAGCCAGCACAGGCAGAGGAGGCAGCCTGCCTGGGCTCAGTTGCTGCTACCATCGCCCCATTTTCTCTGCCATGTCATTAAGAATTCACAGGGCTCGACAGAAAATTCGATGAGCGAATTCACCGAGGGATAAGAAAATAAAATAAACCCAACAAACCAACCACACAAAGAAAAACTTTTCCAGGGTAAGGAAGGCTAGTTTTAAGTTCATCCAAGTTTAGACTGCAGAGCTCTCTCTCTGTACATGAAATGTCACAGTTCCTTTCAGAAGCATAAGAAGAAACCCAGTAATGTCACATCTGACTACTGAGAGTTGTCCAGCCCTGATTTCAAGTGACTGTTTGCCAAGTAAGCCAGTTGCTGCAGCACTGCAAAGGCACATTAGCTAGTCAAAGGTTTCCAGCATATCCTAGCAGTGTGACTACATACACAGATTTTGCAGCCTGCCTGTACACTTAACAGCCGTGAAAATAATTGCTGCAGAAGTGATTTATCCCCTTCAACCTGATCTAAAGCCAACAGAGATCAGTGAACTCTGAATAAAAGTATTTACAGCTATCCCAAGCTTGTGCGTTATTGCCAATAGAAAAATTATCTTTTGCTCCATACTCAGACAGCTAATGTGCAGCACATTTCATTTTTATTTCTTAGCTTCCAGTAGGGAAGATGCAAATGCTGAAACTCTTCAATAATCTGCCATCACATAACATACAGCTAAGGAGTAAACTGTCTCCGTTTTATTAAAATCCAAACCAATTACTGCTCCTGTTATGAAATATATTGCTGCTATATTTTTATCAACTACTAATTCGGGAGTGCAGTTACTAAGTTGTTAGGACTCCTCTACAGATCACCCCCAGCAGCTGAAATCCCTGCCAACACCACCCGTCCTGCTGTGCCTGCCCCTGCAAGGGATCGGCCAGAGCTGGACCATGACGACAGCCTCTCAAGCACTCAAAATGTAACCGGGAACGACAACTTGTATGAACCTACAGCTCGCAAACCCTGAAGAGGATTGTTAAAACAACAGCCAAGGGAGAAGCAAAGCAGCAGGGCCAGCTGCGAGGGACAAGTGTGAAGGAAGATGATTATTCCAGCTTGAATATAAACTGTCAAAGAGGAAAAATAAAAACAATTTGTCAGTAACAACCCACGCAAGGCCGTGTCAGAGTGTACGAAGTCATTTAAGGTGCTCTAAGCTTCAGCTGACAGACCCCAGCCAAACCAGGCACCATGATGTAGCCAGGCTATGAGGCTGAAGGACTGATGATGATGAAATAATCAATGCTCAGCCACCCCAGTGCAGTTCTTTTCCTTTTTTTTTTTTTTTTTTTTTTTTTAAATAGAGCCTTGTCTTTCATTGCAGCACAAGACCCCACCAAACGCAACCTGACTGCCACTTGTTTTTGCAATTATATCAAAAAATAAACCCACAGCAACATGACTCAGGTCAGCTGGTGAGAGTGGCTGTGATGTTTGGGAAATGCAGCCTCTAAGTCCTGAAAAGTTCTTTTAAATTGAATTGAGCAACTGGCTTATGAACGGGTGCCTCACAACAAGTATAAGCAGTAACAGTAACAGCAATTACCACTGTGAGATAGAGCGTATGAATGCCAGAAAAATGCATTTTTATTTGTCATAGCTAATATTTACCCAAGGTACCTGCCAATTTACTGTGCTGATTGCAAACTCCTGGTCGGGTTAAATCCATTTGTTCCACAAAGCTCCCATCTAGAGAATCTTTGGTGGCAACCAAGGAGCAAGAGGCAATTCAGAAGTACAAGAAAGGGCCTGAGCAAGAAAGTAAAACAGTTGTTTTGCATCACACACATACTACAGGGCTTTGTTCCTCCTCTATATGAGCTCTGAGTACTCTCTACAGTTACCAGAACAATTAAAAAATAAATAAATCAACGTGCCTTTCTTCTAAGCAGATACAAGTTTCAGATTAAGTTTGACCATAAGCAATCAAGAGACTATCGATACTGAATTCAGCTTGCGCTGCTGAGAGCATTTGCACACAAACCCCACTTTTGGGTGCTGTGTCACGGGCACAATGCTTTGGCTAGTACTTCAGACAAATCCAGACGTGAAAATCCCAAGGTTCTGTCACTGATTCCTAAAATCCTATCATTTGCCTTTTCTGGTGGACATCTACTCATCTATAAAACATGTATTGCGCATACACCTTCTTTGTAAAGCAAGAATGGTGCAACACTTAAATATTGTTCTGTAACTACCCCTGACTTCCCCAAGCTCACCGAATGCCATTACCTGATGGCTTTGTGTAGAACATGACTGAGCTCTGTCACCGAAACACCAACCAAATAGCTGTGGCCACGATAACAAGGGCTTAAACCCCTCAGTGTCAATTTTCCACTTCGCTGCATTCGATACCACAAGCCAGCAGCAACCCTCCGAAGGCCACGTTGAGTAAAACAGGCAGAAGGCACACAAGTTATCTGATTCCTTTTCTATTTGCGCACAAGCTCTTCTGCTATTCCTGGTTCATAATTTTTTTTTTTTTAAAAGTGGACACCTTTGATTGCTTCCAAGCTTTTAACAATTTCAATTCATCAGGCAGAGCACATCTAAGCAAACGCTCAGCTTAAGTATGCCTTTAGAGGCATTAAAAGAGGCATATCACAGTTTAAAGACAGCATCACATGCAGCATGTGTGTTACAGGGATGTAGATACCACGTACTATCACATCTACTTCCCAAGAAGCTTAATCACACAATACATCTCCTAAGGTCAAATTGTTGACTTTACCGCAATTGCTACTTCCTCAACACAAAACAGCTCGTATGAAAATTCCCCTTCCCTCCCTTTAAAGTTGCGTTCAGGTCATTATCCTGAAATTGAAACAGGTGTATCGAGTCAGGCTTTGTTTTTTTTCCAAATGTATTCAAATGACAATCTTTACACGTCTATGAAACACAATTTTTCAGATATCTGCAGGTTGTCTTAAAAGCCCATCTTATAAAGCAATTTCAGAAAGAAAAATCCCTACTCACACTTGCACTGCAAAATGTCACGGGTTCAGTAGTTCAACTGATTTCTTCGGTGTCTGCTTGGTTTTAAGACTGTTACACGCACATGCACACCACATAATTGTAGGTACAATACTTCCCCTTATTATTTAATCCCCTGGAGCTATAACTGAAAAATGCTAATATTACCTTGCATGCTTGAAGCAGCTTGTTAAAGAAAGGCAATTTTCTCATGTGTCAAAAGATTCCAGTCTCATGAGATCCTCTGGTTAATTCATAAAGTAATTTAATCATAATTAAAGCAAAATCGCATCTTACCCAACCATCATGTTTTGCAAGACAGATTTAGCTAAAACCCAAAAATCCACGCTGCCAGCAGGAACCAAGTAAAATCCCATTGCAGGTGAAGGAAACGGGGGAACAGGAGGCTCTCAGCAAATGCAGGGTGGACAGGCCATACGCCTCTCTACCAGACAGCTCACTTTTATTTTATTTTTTTTTAACGTTTTTCCTCCTTAAAAACTCTTACAAGTCCCTCACCCCATAACCACTCAGAGCAATACAGAAATGTGGCTTTTGC